CTATTATAATACTTAATTGTTGTTATCCGGTAACTTTCTTTTCCGCCTAAAAATGTGAGTACGTATATAAGTCCTTATAAGTAATTATAACTAAATTGGTTGTATATGATACTATTCGATAGGTTCTCACAACCTACTAAGAACACAACAAAACGAGTTCTTTCATTTCAGGTTGTGTCACAGTAAGTTTTTAAATACATATGCCCAGAATTTTGATGGCCTAAAATACGTTACTGTATAGTGTATAGCAATTATATGAATAGCCATACCGCAAGCGTTGATGATTAAACATCTTTTGTAAGAATTCTATCACCATACTAGAGGGATATAGACGAGCGTTACCCTTTGAGGGATTACATGAGTACAGTAAAAGTCATTATTTATAAAATACTGATTTCTACGACCAAGTATGATCAAATACTGTAGGACAGAACAGAGTAAATTAGCTTTCTCTGGTACAGGCCTTATACAGTATACTGTACGTTGCACAATAGCACACAGGAACGTTTACACGAAGAAGTATCATGAAGAAGGTTTCGATTAGTAGTTTTGTGATAATTCTTGTCTAAAGCGACAAATACAGTCTACAATAACATATTCAGCTCTTTAAGTAGCACAATCATTTACTTCTATAATTATGAAGCTACACAGATACAGGAACAGTACAGTAGTTTAGGGTTTTAGTTTATGGGTTCGAAATACGATCTCTTCCTGTTACGCTTCAAAAACTATTTTCAAAGAAATTATAATGTAATTTAAAGCAATTACATAAGTAATGACTTTATTTAGATAGAATGAAAGTAAAAAATCAGGAATCCTTATCATTAATATTTTTGTACAGTGATAAGTTACCGTGATATTATCATATCGACTAATTTCAGAAATAGAACTTATGGATCACTTTAAAATTTAAGGATAAATTTGTAAAGACAAGTTTCAAACATACATGGCCATAGCTAAAGTATAATATAGTATAATACAGTAGTTGTCACAAAAGAAATACCGTATCACTGAAAGAAGATTTATAGCTCCATACTTACAGTCTTAAACAAATTAAATTAATTGTGAGAGTACAGAAGCGTACCTTTTGTAATTAGTATATTTACTTAAAAGCTTAGATAAAATCTGTATTCTAACAGGAATATAAAATGAAAAATAAATTTATCGAATTCAACAGAAGTAAAATATCGTAATAACAAGGTCGAACCCCATTACATAACTAAAATTGTATGCAAGTCAAAATATGCGTTTAATGAATAGCAAGTAACATATTAATCATGTATTAGAGAGAGAAATCGCTATATTTAAGATCAGTAAATGTCAGAATAACAAATTCGATAGGTAAAGGTATCATATCTGATCCAATTTCAAATATAGACAATTTCAGAAAGTCGTTAATTAAAATTCCATTTAAAACTCGTTGGGGAAGATTCTCGCATAAACTGATTAAAAGCCTTCGTATAAGTCATGACTTGTCTAGTATCAACATTCTATTTAATATAAATCAAATTTATCAAGTACTCATATAAGGTACGGAATTGACTCGAGTCATCAAATTGCTGTACGTGTAATGCTGAGTCGATAACATACCTGGCTTTTAATGCCTAGTAGCAAGTGAAAATGAAATCAATTTTATTTCCTAAAAGACGTATTTAGGCGGAGGAGACTTCCCGATGTCGTTGCTATGCTAGAAGTTATTGGAAAATATATCATTGACATTAATACAGTAGGACTAGATATAGCAGTAAATATATGCTATTTACCACTTGACAATTTCTTTTCCAATCACATCATGAATGCAGAAACTAGCACCAAGACAACAACTTTTCAATGATGAATGCTTTTGTAAGTCCTAATAAGAATTATTGCTTTCGTTAAGTATACTTACACTGAAATTTAACCTGCCGATGGATAAAAACAACCTCCTATATAGAATTCAATTAGCGATTATACAACCTGTTCTAAAATTTCTTTATATTTTCTTTTCTTGAGGATTTTTATAACGCATTCGCGTCCTAATATCGTAAGAAAATTTACGGGCACTGTTTATGCTTATATTTTGTATAATTCTAGCTAAATTACAAAGTTCTCAGAGAATGACCTCGCATACCCGTATAGTATGCTGTATACGCTCTCGAATAAAATTCTCCTAACCTCTAATAAAGTGCTTCATAAACTGCCCTGCATTAGGTATTGCTATCCACCAACTATCGACGTCTCTAATCGTTAAGGTTCCAATACTCATCAGGTAACTGTTAAATTATGCCAGGCATTAATTGATCATAAACAAATTGAGTCTGCTGGTGTCTCAAGTTTTAACTTAAGTTAAAATATACAAGTAAATGGGTTAGTAACTAGGTATTCTTTTCATTTATTACTTACGTCAAGTCCTGCTCAGACAGCCCGATTTTATCAAATAAAGTTTCCCTATTTATACTGACATCAGTACATTTCGGCAAGACGCAATGAAGAAATTTGTCTAAGAATCAAGCATTACATGAAGTTATAGCAGATATAGCTTACATCAAAATAGCATTTCTGCTACGCTTTACCGTATATCGTACCTATACTTGTGTACTAAATACACTAAATGCCATATCTTAAGTAATACAATCTAGAGTCTAACACAATATATGAATATAAATATAATCTCCGTCTAGCTATCATTACATATGGATGATTTATTTTCTTTGGTTATTAATTTTTTGATGCAATCTGTGTAGTCTTCTGTGGTCAGGATCGAAAATTCGTCAGCCCCTTCACCAAGTTTGAACATACGGATAACATTTCGAATACGAAGATCGTTCTCGAGAGCGAAAGAATAGAAATACAGTAAGACGCATACTATATACGAGCGTATGTACAATGTACATACGTACTGCATGCGCATATTTGTTATTCATGATATCATCTTGCTATTGAAATCAATTTTTCGGATCAAGGCTTGATTCAATTTTCTAGCTATTTATAAACCCTATAAAAGGTATAATCTACATACATTAATTTAATTTCTAGGATTTACCAGCTGGCGATCAACCAAAGTTTTGTCGGAGATTATGCGATAAATTTGATGTTTGAATACAATAATTGGGTATGGACGTGATTTACGAGTATACGCGCCATGTCCTTTAGTACAGTCTTTCAAATACTGGATGGCAGCAATTATGTCATGCAAACTATCGTCATCTATTGAGAATGAATATTAAATTAATTAAAAATTTCATAGTTGAAATTGTAAAAACGCGAGAAAAATATAACTATTCAGTAAACTAAATCGATGAGGCTACACTGTCGGGTTTGTCCTTCCTGAAATCTACCTACATGTAATACGACTCTAAAGTGGCTTACTGACGATCTCCTATCATTATGAGGAACAGTAACACCACCAGTCTCTCTTAAACAAAACTGAACCCAAGCTTTATTGAAAAACAGTCAGTTTACGTAAACATTAGTTATCAGTACTATACGTGGAAGATAAGCATTAGATAGTGAAAGCAATGGGGGAAAAGTCGCTTCATGACACGACACCAATCAAAATATTAACATTTGTAATCAACGAGTGATTTTTCATTCTCGTATTAGGCTTCGGGTATACTTTAATCGCGCTGATTCTGTAGCTGACAAATTTAGAACAACAGTATACGCGTATGCGAAATTGAATGAATCGGATAGATGAAATTGTATGTTGAGTATTCCATCTTACAGTACACTGTCGAATGAGGAACTTCTAAGAGAAATCCTCTTAGAAATTCTAGTCTGGTACATACTGTAGACCAGTATTAATTTAAATAATTATAATTTATCTAACTACAGTATTTACAGTTAGCCGTAAATTAAAAAACGAATAAGTAATCATAAATAGAGAGCTTCAAGTTATTGGTTACTGCTACTGACTTAAGCAAAATTCCAGATCATTTTCGTCGGTTTCGTTAGGTACTTTTTTGCGTCTCTTCCTTACCATTTCTTGACTAGTAACTACCCCTTGAGTTGATAAGCAGCGTTTAAGCTGTAACACTGACTTCATCGAAGAATACGAAGTATTCATAAGTAATAATTAATTATAGTTCATACAAGAATATTTTTGTTATAATGGCGAAAATTTGATTTCAAATGTTTTGGACATTATTAACAGAGTGCAGTGCTCATAAATGCCAAACGGATTGGTACTGAATCTGCGTACTACAGTATGTTGCTGTATTGAAAATGTGATGGTGAATTGCGCAGTGTACAGTACGGTTTCAGATATGCAAAATAGTCAAAATGGCCCAAGAAAAGGTCAAGTACTGTAATTGTTTGCATTTTTAGAAAAGTACGAGCAAGTACAGTACTATGTACCGTACTATAGTAGTACTGTACTGTACACTGTACACTGTACAGTACAGTACGGTGTGATAACAATACAGTACAGTACAATACACGTTAAATCAGATGCAGTACTGTACACTGAGTGTGCGCTGTACAGTACAGTACAGTTAAAGTGAATTGATAGGCGCCGTACTATAAAGTACTGACAGTACAGTACAGTATTTGAACGCGAGTATAATCATGTCATCATTTTTAGTATTCTGTACTGTACACACTGAGTGTCCAGTATTGAACGACCGTTACCAGTCGCTCTTTCCTTTCAGTTCGACTTGCTAGAACTCAAGTTACTGTGGAAGTCCCGAGCAGACGTGTACAAGTACTGTACTGTACTGCACTGTACTGTACTGTAGTGTACTGTCTGATACTCATACTGTATCATTATTTACTTGTATTTTCTTTTACTGTATTTATATCGGTTAAAAGACTACTGTATAAATCATACGAAGTAGAGCACTCGTATAAAAATATGTGTCGCTAAAAAATTATTGTCATTCACTTCACCTATATTTCGTGATCGCGTACTTTTAAAGGCTTAAAAAGAAGTCAAAAATTGTGTTATATTGCAAGCGTACTGAGAACGCCTTGGTTGAAAGAAAGAAACATAACTGTATGATGGTAATGTGCTGACTGTTAGGATGGGAATCTTACAAAGTCGCCCGATTAGCCAAGACGAAGAAGCCAACCAAGGAGGCAATCGACTAAATAAATCGAACTCTGGATCAGGTACGTTAGTCGAGATTCTTTATTACGAACGCACCTATGTTTTAAATCTAGATACCTAATAAAGAACATTAGTGTTCCTCTGTTCCTGATAACTTTACCCTGCTATAAATTTAAAAATTTTAATCCATAAAATATTATTCCTAACCAAGAAAAATACGGTGGAGTACAGTAAACGAATATGTACTAGCAATGGAGCATTATCAGCATAGTACAGTACAGTATAGACAATATTTAGCAAACGTTCTGTACAAAGCATAGAAAACGCTACATTAATTAAAATGATGTACTAATATTATAAATTGTAACAAAATGCTGATCACCATTTTTTCATTCGAAATTATGATGCTGCACATTACTGTATTGTCTACGTTAGAGACTGTAATTAGTATTGCAAATCGACGTCTAGTAACTCGATGATGGGCCTCCACGAGCCAGTTGCCATATCACATAAATTATGTTTGAGTCTTTTCGAGTTAAAGTTATATTTATTTACTGTCAATTAATCTAATCTCCGTTTGTTCATAATAGTTAAAAGCATTCAATATGTACAGTACATGTAGTACTGGATTGAGCGATACTGGTTAATTGCTATACTGGATAGTGTACAGTTATACAGTACAGTGCATACCGTGCATATACAGTACGTGTTTTGGTACCATACTGTAAAATGTGTAAATTACTTTATACTGTACTGTATTGTACACTACATACAGTACAGTAGTCGTACACCTTCGCACTGTACAAAAATGCAGCAACAATATTTTTATCGTTGTACGTCGTGATTTACAAATTACAGTCAAAGATATTACAGTATTTTAGATATCAGGTATTAGAACTGCAGTATTCATCATCGCTAACAAACCTTTTTTGTATCAACTAGGATGTTACTTTGGCAACCATTTCGTACTAGGTGGAGAAAGATTCGAAACTAATCAGCCTGAAGGTTTCCTTTTTGGAAATTCCAACGATCTAAGATTCTTGGGAAATCATCCTACTCCGGTATGCTTAAATTGAAATATTTACTTGTATACTTAATTTATATCTGTTCAGCTCTGTCAAGGAATTTCGTTCTTCTAACTCTCTAGTTTCTATGTAGTAAGTATTGTTAATAGATGACAGGCTGCAATACAGATTTCACTATTCCGAATTAACGACAAATATATATATACACAAAATTCTCTAGTTTCCTTATCGCGTTCCGAAATCTAATGAACCAAATAAAGCCCTACGAAGTTTAATACATGTCAGGAAGGATTCTTTAAAATTAAGCAGGTAGGACAGTGTTAGATCAATATTTGCTATTGATTTATAGCCCCCCGTAAAAGGTCTTTGATAATTTCTTGGTAGTTTTGACTTGACGATATAGTTTTAGTATAATGTACGAAGGAAAGATCTCAACTTCATTGTAAAGTTGATAAATTAAGTATATGATAAGAATTTCTAGATACTGAACTCTAATTCCGAAACTGATAGTATCGTTAGTAGCCTTTAGTGATATTAAGCGGTTTAGCTAAATTTTATCTATTAATAAAACATTAATCTTCGTTAATTTTTAGATGCACAGAGACAGATAGGGATCAAAATAACAGATACCACCTTGAATTTACCTTCGATGCTGATATCAATTGCGCGATTAGAATTTTTTACATCGCAAAAGAGGAAATATCTAATGGAAATCTGATGTAATTTTTAGCCTATACTACCATACCTTCGCATATATTATTTAATTAATACTAATCTAAATTTATTATGGGTGATACACAGATACACACCGAAATCTCAAAATTTGGCGTCTCCCAAGTTTTACTATGAAAAGGGATCGAATCAACATTTTAATCAGTCTAGAAAACATTCTATCAATCTTCATGATCTCGAAAATGATGAGGTAACTACCGTAATTGTGTCGACATGGCTACTGCTGTACTTGCAGTCATATACAACATTGGATTAACACGCGCGCTATTTTTACTTCAAATAGCTTACTGTTTCAATACCCATGGGCGACAAAGGGAATATCGTCTATCCTGTAGTTATTCAAATAGATTCTGACGACAATGAAGGTAAAATTAATGGCTACTAGAAATGATAAATACATTTTCATCTTGAGTGTTATTCAACAATGGTGTACTACACCATTGTATGGTTAGGCTTAGTTTATATCTGTTAGATAGCAATGATATTGTTTGTATTTTATAGACCTTGTTAATCATTCTCAAGTGACGTTTGCAACTTTTGAGAAAGTAAGTTTTTAATAAATTAGCTATGATAAATCTAGCTTTGTAAAATTTTTATCTCTTCGTGAATTCTCAATATCTTGCTATTTGAAATAGCTCCAAGGCGACATATATACTGTGAAGCCCCTGAAACAGAAGCAGATGGTAAGTTATTAAATGTAAATTTACTTGTTTTGATGTTTAAAAATTGTATATCAGTTTACGTAAGCTGGTAAGCCCTTGTCTACCATATGTGTATTAAAATTCATCAGTCCATACCGAACATGTCAAATTAAAAGTTTTGTTATAACAGGTTGATGGAATTTGGTTCTTAATCCAAGAAATTTACGGCATAGAGAATAAAAATATTCGTGAGGATGAGGAAACCGGAGATGCTACGGGTGATCAAATAGACGATGCGTCCGATGATTGTGTCGTTTGCTTAAGCAAGAAAAGAAATACAATCATTCTTCCTTGTAGACACCTGTGTTTATGTAGTGAATGTGGTAAATAAATTTCACGACAATTCGTGTATAGAATGTAAAGGAATCTGATAGTATGCTAATGAACAATTTGCCGTCTATCCCATAATAGCTGATTCTCTACGTTACCAGTCTAACAATTGTCCAATTTGCCGATCACGTAAGTAATTGCTTTATTTGAAATATCACTTAACTCTGAAATTAGTTAATTGACAATAATTTAATGTACACGATTATCGTAAATATTTTCGCATAGCATTTCGGGCATTACTTGGCATTCAGGCTTATCGCCACAAAAGTGAAATTAAGAATAAGCAGGTTCGCTTACATCAACCTTACTTAGCTCCTAATTCTGTGCTAGTAGCATGCTAGTTTATAACCTAATACTGCTTTAAACCAAATTTACAACGCTAGAAATCTCGTAATAATCGCAATGGATTCGAACCTACCCCATTAGTTGAGATTTTAAATGGCTCAAAAGCAACGAAATCAAATGGTAAGACTTTAATAGCGATTTTACGTCATCATCTTAATTGGGATAATAAATGTAATAGTACAACCATTTCACGACAAATAGGTACCCGAGTAACCGTGATTGACTCGAATTGTTCTACAGAACCTCGATTTTCAAGGTATGAGATATTGTGGTATTATAATTGGCAAAATTTAAAAAGGATTGATATGTAATTAATGCATCATTGATTTTCCGTTGATTATAACTAGCTTGACGCTAATCCAGTCCGTTGAGGAATCTACATCAGCAGACAATATTCAAACTGAATGCCTAACAGAAAGTAAAATAGAATCAGCTGGAAAGAAATACTCCACAACAGATTCTGCTATTTTAAGAAGTACCAGCAAGATTAGTATTACTGTTCCTCCTGATAAAGATACAAACTACAATGAAACTATCTTTCATAACACGAGTGAAGTATCAGAAAGAGAGGAACTTACTAATAGAGGCAGCTCGAGTGAGACTGGAAAGAGTAAAAGTAAATATCGCTCTACGGAGCTGAAAGGTAGGAATAGTAGTACAATTAAATATACTTGATAAAATACATTAAGTTATATTATTAAACTGATACTGTAAGCTCAACCCTATTGATCGTAACATGGAAGTTTTTGCATGAACAATCTTTGCTTTATCATCTCATCTCTTTCGGAAACGAATTCTATGACTGATAATTAAGAAATCGCTTCTTATAGTAGACTTTTATCATATGTACAGCAATGATAGAAGTTAAATTTAGAGTAAATTCTTTAAAGAAAATTTCAACAGTGTGAATAGCATATTTTTGCGAGACGTACCTATATATATGTTAGTAAAAATTAAAGCTTTCTGTTGAGATTTTCTCTACCACTAATAACAATGCATACCTAAGCCCAATCTCATCTTTGTAGTTATGTCATATTATCGCTTCCTGATATTTCACGGAAGAGTGGAGAAAAAGAGGTTTGTTTACAGAGAATGGGGATTATCACAACGTACTACACGATTTGTTACGTAGGTCGTACGCTAATGAGAATACCTTTCTATATCACTTTGATCAACATGTTCAACTTGCTTATATGCGATTTTACAATGTACTACGAGGATTGAAATACTACATTACATTCATGTACTGAGTCACTTGTTAGGAAATTAAACGTGCATTCAGTACGGGTGTATCACCCCACGGGGATTAAAGTACGACAAATCTAGTAGCAACTACTGGCAAGACTGGTATGCGTGTATTTAGTTCCATGACTTCTTAAAAGAATGGCATCTGCATTTGTGATATCGTATTTAGCTGTAAGTTAATCACCGTATGTACGTACACAGTGGTTAATATGAAAATTCCCAAGACCATGGCCATATCTGGGTCAACGCTGATTAATCAAGCATACATGCTAAGTAACTGTAGAAAAGTGCGCACAATATGCTTATTTTTCTTGAGTTTGAAATTAAAATTTTCATTTTACTGTATCTCTAAACTATTGTTGATTCTGTTAATGTAGTGCGTACAACTTGTCCCTATTACTAGCAGTAACATTAGTACATTAGCGGTTAGAGCAATATCTTAAATTTGCAGCTATATTCCTAAACTTCATTATTTTTGGAAACTGTTTTTTTTTCACCGTGTATTATGAATTTGCATGCAGTCAAGTAGCATTGCAAGTAATCGAAAGCATTTACTCCATTTATCAAAATTTGTACAACAGGCGATAGCAGACACCGAGGGAAAGCTAGCGAGGCCATCTCTAGACGTCACTCCACCGATGCCAATTTAGGAACTATTGATGCCGATTCGTCTTGGCAAGCTGCTGCTGTGACGCAAGTTATTGCCCCATTAGACATAACAAGCGAAAATACTAACGAAGGCTATTCATATAAGGTACCTCGATTTTGCTATTGTTGCCCATTCCTTCAACATAAATGAATTATTAATTAGTTCGCTGATACGGTATATTATAGGAAAATATCGATAACACTGAGGGTGCGCCATCAGCAATTGTAACTGTTCACGACTCTCCCAGATCTTATGATGGTAATATTTAATCAAATTGACTATTACTACGCTTACCGCACTAAGATCTCTTCTAAATCATAGTGTATGTCCCAACAGATGAAACAGATTATAATTGCAGTACGCGATGCACTGTAAGTATATACTGTAACTAGTAGGTTACACATCAATCAATCCATTGATAGTCATTTCTGTATTTGGACATTAATCTCCTGATCTACAAATTATATGCCATCTAGTCAGTAAATTGTTCGACGATCGATGTTGCATCGGATGGCACTTCAGATACTAATAGCGTAGACAGCGTCTTATCTGTTCAAAACAATAACCTCCACTGCGGTAGGGCAGTCTCTGCCCCCGCTAGATCAAAGCCAACGACCATTCAGATACAATCAAGGAATACTGGTGGTGGTTCTTCAGAGGTATAATTTATAAAGTAATGCTAATGAAATAATCGTATATCAATCAAAGTATTTACCTTGTGCATTTTAACTAAGAATTTAGATCTTAATGACCAGTTTTACTATTTCTAAATGAGATTGCGCATATATAACCACGTTTAAATTTTATTTACTTATTTCGACTGATGTTAGTACTAGTAACTGTAAAATATACTATTATCAACTTCTTTACTATTGTAAGATTATGTATGTGCTAGTTTTAATTTTATACTTATCATCGCAGCGATGATATGTTATGATTACAGATTACTGGTAATTGATATTTTATTGTTTTGCTCTGTGAATGTGTGAAAATCCATTAAGAATCTGGCGAATGTTGTATGTAATATACAAAATAGCAGTAAAGAACCTGCAATCTTTGCAGTTGGAAGTAATACTTTTGCTATAGTTAATAGGATATTACAAGATAATATCAAATTCTGTTATGCTGTAAGATGCTAGAAAATAAAAAAGCTTCAGAGTACGTCACTAACGGTCATAAATATTATATTTTGCTTAATGCATACGTAATATTTGAAGCTAATACGTTACGATAGTTTTTATTTTATTTTTTTTTATTGCAATTAATTACTAAAATATAGCAATCTCATCTAAATACACTTCTAGCAATAAATGCAAAAGTTAGACTATCAATGATGTAAAAACTTCTGTTCTTTGCAGTAAAATCTAATTACACTATGTATTGATCCAACATCTTCTTACTACTTAAAAAACATCGAGCTAATATTAACAGTAATTACTTAAATAAACGATATTATTATTAACGGATTTCAAGTAGATGGACATGTATGTAGGATGTAGAAACAGCATCAAAGTTTATTTAGTGTCAGGTCATTGAAGAAGTTCCCTAACAGAGCGATAGCAAATAAATACTTTGTAAACTCCATGACTTAGTTCGGCGGGAAAATACGTCGTGGCATAGGCCAAACAACCTCTAAGTGTAATCAAAAACGATTACGTATGAGCAAAATGTTACTACCCGTTTATGACTATTGTATAAGCTCATTGAATGGGGTAAAAATGCGACAGATTTTAGTTCACCTAATTCGTAACATGGACCTAGGTTAATGATGGTATAACTTACCCTCATCGAGAATAATATTTAGAGGAGCGTAATACTTCTCTTGATATTCTACAGCCCCACATAGCTCATTTGATCTTAGTAAAACTTCGATATCACCTAGATTTGACGTCATAACCGATATTTCAATATGTCGAAATCATAAAAAGAGCTTTTCATTCGAATCAATTTATGAAATGAAGTGTTCCTATCTGGCCGCATTAGCAATAATTTCTTACTTTGTGGGTATAAGTCGCCTGGAGATTTTTCAACCAGAACATCAATAGCTGAATGCAGATTGATCTGATTCAAAAAGAAATCAAGTACAGGATTTACTTACTTTATGTAAGAGCTATAGAATGTTTCTATCATATTCAAATAGCTAGATCATCTATAGTATTTAAAAATAATTTTAAATATGCCGACGGAATCATATAAAATACATTTGTCTTACTTCTGGAACTTTCACTAAATGTTTACTTAATTTTGTTATTGCTCTTAGGCATTGTAGCACCTAATACAGAAAGATTTGTAGATATGTTATTAAATATAATTAAGATGTAATAATTCTCACGCAACATTATAACATTGAGGAACAATCATTCAAATTATTACAGTAACATCTAAAGAATTACGCAATATGTAGCAGATATAGTGGAATGGATAGAAATCCAGTTAAATTAATGCAATAATAGTAGAAGTAAGAAAACACGATCACATCACCGAACATTAGCAATGCAGAAATATAAAAATTTTAAATTAATTTATGCATTTATAAGTAAATTCTACGTTACTGTTTACAAAATTATTGCTTCAAAGATCTTATTGCTTACCATCACATCTATAGGTTCATTAGAATTTGCATTAGCCAAGTCATTTACTTGAATTGCAGGCATTTCCAGTATATGATAACTCCAGTACGAGAACATACGATTGCTTATATGATAACCGTTACGGAAAAATACGAATGTAAAGAATACATGATGTTATATTATAATTGTAAATATCAAATATGCTGCGTTCTGACGGTAAAGTTGAATGTTATATCACATTTGTACACCAGTATTTGTCATTCATTAAACGCGTAGTAAGTAATTATTTTCTCGAATTGATAAGATACATCACTAATCAAGGTTAAAGCTTTCGTATTGCTAATCACGGCTCTATATTATGGTAATAAAAAATTAATCAGTTGTTAGTGCTGATATAGTTTGAGCTCTTAATAAGTCATTTTAAAGCCTAAGATGCGATTACATCATACCTTTAGCTTAAGATATTTTATTAAGTATCAAAATTATTTTTATCCTCGAAAATCGGTTAAATAATTAATTAATCATTTGTTCGAGAAATTTCTTACGTATTATTCGCTTCACTCAGCTCCTGTTCTTTGATGATATCATTTAGTGCTTCAGAAGATACCTAGAATATTAAAATGAAATAGCATATTATTCATAAAACTATATTTCACACTCAAAATTAAATTTTTAGTTTAAGAAAAGGCAACTACCAATTTTTGTTACGATTTTGTATAAACATTTCAGCCAAACATTACTAAAGCACCGAAATAGCTTTCGATTACCTCAAGAATATGCATAACATGATATGGGTAAACAAGTAATAATCCTGTTATACCATCGCCTTCAAAATCGGTTACGTATTTGCGGAATAGATTTTGAAAATAATCTAAGAATTGAATCATAATTATGAAAATAAAGACGTTGTCATGGATTAAATCATCTGTAATTAGTATTAAGTTATTATAAATTATATAGTTACTCATTTGGGAGAAACAACCGATGGTTAAAGATACATATACCAGCAATGGTTGATAAACTTAAATGAATGAGAAATAACCAACTACAACTGCTAAAGTAGTAGCTCTAGGCAACTTATAAACTTTTTAAAACGCTAAAAATTGATTTCTTGCTAGTCATGAAGTTCTTAAAATGTACTTAATCTAAAATACCATAGGATAGCCCTAAAGCTAAATGTAGAGTAATCATTTATTAAGGAAGTAGAACATTTGTTTATTTACTTGCTCTTATAGTATCAAATGCAGTATACAAGCACTACTGGTACTTTTTGGGAAGTGCTTGCGCTGATATTCCACTACTATTGTATGTATACGTATGAATACTTTTCTTAGTTACATACGGGGGTACTGGCCGTAATTGATAAACAATATTAAATTTACCTCCAATTTCTTTTTTGTTATTAACTGTAGGGGCAATTCTTGCAATGTAAATCAAACGATGTAATATTTGTCGCTAAAATTAGCAGTACAAGATTATAAGATTGCCAGTAAGCGCTACGGTATATCAGCTTTTATTTACAAAATTTTAAGGAATAACTAAGATATGAAAATTATTTTGGATCTACCTTGTTCACAATCTTGTTTTTTTCTGTAATGATGTCAAGAAGAGAAATATTGGGTGAATCATAAATAAGGGCACTGTCTGGTCGATGTATACTTGCCATTTCGCGAAATGATGAGATTTTGGATTATGATTGACGCTGTACAATATAGTAATGGACAAATTATAAGTGTACGGTGTAAATTGTCGATTCTATCTGTGACCCCGCACAATGTACGTACAGTAAACAATCAAATCATCGGTACTTTTTGTTATATAATATTGCAATTTATTGTCGTTGACTTGTCGGTGAGTTGTTGTACGGACCACTAGAAAGAGATCTCAGTCTCTTCTTGCGATTTTTGGTACTGCAATATTAAGCATAGTACACTACTCACTATTTGTGACATCATAGATCATCAGTAGTTCAGTACCGTTTATTGCGTGCTTTTCGGTAAGTAGTATTGTACCACGCGTGAGAAAAATTTTAACTGTACACTATAACGTAAGTTTCCTTTCATTGCCTTGACAACATAACAATAACCTTTCTTAAAGTTTCTTAACTCGCACAGTATATACTGCATACGTACTATACAGTATACACTACGAGTAATGTACTGCACATTATGACGATCGAAAACGAGATTAAGCCGGATACGGAAAAAAGAAATTGACAATCTAGCCTTCAACACTACAGTAGTAGCAATATTCGATGTATCTGATAGTATGGTTTATGGCATGTACACAATATTGCATGCTCAAATTTTCAAAGCTTGCTTTGCTGCCGAATAGAATATTTTCGAAATCTACAGCTAGTATGGCCATTATGAACAATAAATAAAAAAGATAGAACTATACCTATAAATTCATGCCGTAAGATTATAACGTAGTTTACAGGAGCCCAGCTTTGCTAAAAAAAATAATGAACTATTTAATATGTCATAGATGGAGAGGAGCTAGACGGGTTGCCTGTCGAGTTTTAAAATTTTCTCTCTTTATTTCGCTAACGTCTGTATATCGTCATACAAATTCGATACTGCATAGAGTATTTACAGTAACGAAAAAGCTAATAAAAACAAAACTGCAAAAGCAGCCTCTTCGCCGTATACATATTCTAACATACGTACAGACCACAGTCGTACAGTACATTACTAGTATGTAGATAAAAGCACAGATGTAGATAAGTCGTGCGGAATATATCAAGCATGTAGTTATATAATATTTGAAATTCTCCATATACTTTACACATGGTCCATGTAACGGGATAAAATAATCTACGACGTTGCAGAGTCACGGTGATGTTACAACGAACAAAACACGTATTTCACATGTATAGTAAATGTACAGTAAAATACTCTAACGAGTATTACCGCTGCTATATCACGTTTAAATTTATTAATAGGTCACTGTCTATTGCTCTTATTATCTCAGTCACAGTCGACTTTATGTACTACATAGACAAGACGGTACGTTATAGGGCACTATAAGATCTGTCATCATCCACAATGGATATAATACATTTATAGTCCAACCACGCCGTAACTATTATTCTCTATTTTAGTACAGGTCTCATAAATTCTGAACAATCCAAAAACTGAATATTCATTCCTTTATAAATAGCAAGTCTATTGACATCTTAACAGCTCTAGTACAATTACTGTACTTACACCAATTAAATGCTAGCTATATTTTATCATTTGTCGTTAATTCTGTTAATTTACGCATTTTATAAATTTTTAAGTCAAATCTTACTTAATAGCCACTAATTGTTATTTGCATTATATAGGTGATCCAAATATTCTTAGGTTTTGATGCCCTTGTCGTATTTTACTCTTTTTGTAGTATATTACTACTACGCGTATATCTCTACTTCGCTTCTAGCGGTTTCTCAGGACAAGGCCAGACAATATCTATCAATCAACAAATGTACGTCTAGTAAATTGTTCATTGCATTTCAATTTAAGAACTTTTAAGAAATATACATTTGTAGTAGTGATGATTAACTTATTATAAACTGGTACATTTTTTAAACAGAACTAATATAAGCGTTTATGCGAACAATCATGATATCTAAATTGTTTTATGATAATTAATATTGTAGACTAGACAGGATATCACATGAAATATATCCAATAAACTTATTTTAACTCTTTGTTACCACTGTCCAATGTTATATCGAAAATTTTCGAATTGCGAGATTGGTAGCTTAAAGCACTACACATATGAGGTGACCCTAATATGTATTTTAGGTACTCTATCCGAGCATGAAATTTTATGAGTTTAGAATATTAAAATAAATTTTATATTAGCAAAGAATTTCCATTTTTAGATCGAAGTATTATGTACCAGTAAATTATATAAGATTAATAATTATAATAAGGATACCTTGATCAATAAGTAAGTTAGGAACATTTTTCTGTAAATGTAAGAGTTCAGATGCCATGTTGCTCTAAACCGAAGACGATATCTGTTACGGAAGCTATCAATATCTATCGAAGTACACGGTCAATATACAGTATTCAAAATTTTTTGCCCATTAATCCTATAATTCTAAATAGGACCTGTACCTTTGGAATTTTTGATAAGTATCTTCCAATTTTTAGTAACGAGCTTATACATTCTAAGACCTAAGAAATTTGATCGTATGCCATATTATTAACGCAGGAAAAACTGTTACAAGTCAAGCGGAGCCTAGTTCTTTATGCAAGAACATTATAGACCATCCCAGTTTGCGACAATGATCAACAAGATATCGCTGAAACAGTTATACTGACCATACAAAAGCTGCTCTGACTATATCTAGTTAGCCATTGTTCCAACTGGGGTGGCTTAATAAACAATTTTCTACCGATAAGTATTAATACCTCAATAATTTAGAATAAACGATAGATTCGAAGAACTACGCGTAAGTGATTAAATATATTGTTATGAATCATCTTACAATATCATCTACTGATGACGATGGCGATACATATTCACTACTTTCTAGAGGATTCACAATAATGTTGTGGCAGCTCCATTGAGAAAAAACTCGCTTATAGGTTTAGACATAGTTAAGAACTTTACGTATGAAAATATGCGTATGACATTACATTCAGCAAAGTTGATAAGGATTCATGTTCGGTCTTCTGCGACCATACAAAATGACATAAATGTAAAAATTATTTTCCATAATTAATTTCAAGCTTCTCTCCTAGTAACAACCACGCAATTACAAAGTTAAAAATTTGGGAAAGGATATATTACTTGACGCCATTATGAACCGACAAACTGAAATATAGCCCCTAACATTTTCGATCCAAATACGAACGAATTAGTATGAATAGTAAACATGGAAGTAATAATGTAGCCATTACTAATAATTAATGAATAAGAGTTCACCAGGATTACTAAATTTAAACATATTTCAAGTAAGCAAAAGCATGTTGGGCAGTAGTAAATATCACCATTAAATTGCAATATCATAAACACTCTCAGGTGAAATCAAATAATGATATTTCTCAATTTTACTATAACATAAACTTTCAGCAATTTAGAAATATGTCCTTAAGTATACATTAACTGCTGCCTAATTTTTAATTATTATACGAGTTATGCACGGGTAGCTAGCAAAATGACTTCACAAAACTAAGCCAAGCATGGGTAAGAGTATGATCTGAAACAGTAATTTTTAGGTAATTTGATGATAGCACTTTTGTGTAGGTACAGAAGTATTTGATATGCATTATGAAGTCTTATTAACGAATCTGAGAATATAACGGAAGTTTTATGATCGTATGGTAGAGTTATCAATACATTTCAATAACCAGGTCGATATACCAGTCATCATACTTACATTTTCCCTTTTTCATTATCAATCAAATCATTTATCATAACTTCATAGTTGTTGTAATCGCACTTCAAATTAAATTCATTAGTATCAGTGTAATTCAAGTATTTTTTAGTTACGATGTTTAGCTACACCATATGAGACAGAATCATAAAGAAGCTTTACTTAATCATAATCGTCATAAAGAATAAATCTTACCTCAACCAGATGAATACAATATTGAGGGTAAACTAATAGCATTCCCGTTATTGCTTCTTTTCCGTAATTAATTTCATTAATTTTCAGTAATTTTGTATAGTAATCTTTAATTTATGAAAGTAACTATAATTATCACTTCTGTAAATGCATATATACACAGTGTACCGCTACATGAAACTAAGAACATTAGAGAAGAATCAATGTTAAAAGCTTAATTTAATTTATATATGCGTATGCTGCAATCGAACCTGAAACATGCATATTACCTACTTACTTTCAAACTACAGAAAATGTCTAAGAGAATCTCGGAAAGATAATGCTAATGTAATCAATAACTAATTAACTATGAATAATTGTATGAATATAAAATATCTCTAATCTTCACAAGAAATTTACCTTTTGCAAGTAATTGCATCATAAAATCTTAACTGATTTAGCTCATAAACTCTGCTAAGTACAGATGCTTTATAGCTATTATTATTTATCTAACCCAAACGAAATATTTCGAATATTTATTTGTATTTCAATATTAATGAGGTTTGAACGATGATCAATTATTTCCGATTGCTACACATATAAATCTAACCAAAGTTATTCACATGCGTGATCAGCATATGCTACTGCCCATAGAGAATAAAGAGAAGCCTAAATGTTTTATTTTATTTTTATCTGTTGTATATCTAATCACATGTATACATACGGTATGAAATTACCACTATAATTTACTTATGATACGACGAGCTACCGTTATTATGACAGCAAATTTCAGATATCCAAATAACAATCATTAGAGTAAAGTACTCTATATTTTCCAAAAACTGCTTTTCTTGCTTCTTCGATCAGTAGCCACCCTTGCATGAAGAAGCATTGGTCACCTTGCTTGGTGCAACATAAATTTTAAAGTAGTTTAATACTTCAATACTTACTACGTCTGCATACAATTTCTACAGATATTGTTTCTTATATCAATTTTGTAGTGTATTTAGAATATACTGTAACTATATTCTACTCTTAAATATAGACATGTTGTATTGCTCTTATATTTAGATAGATCTACAGTCCGCTTACTCTACATTCATATATAGACTACTGTATTT